ACCCAAATAACTCCGGATATGAGACTACTTAATGGAGCCTGTGATTGGAGGGTGTCAGTTGATTTTCAGAACCCCTCTGCAATTTCTGGTATACATCATTCTGATTGACGCACGCCCTGACATTGTAGCGTGGTCTGAATCAAAGTAGTGAGTCCTCCTAGTAGAATTAACGGTTAAGGAAAACAGGGATGAGGTGCACGAGCGAAAGAAGAGTCGCTACGAATCGCCGCGATCCGACTGCGTGGAAAAGGCATCATGTTATGTGCTACCTAGTGAGGTCGGGTATCATAGATTCCTTGGAAGGTCAATCGTTTTCTTACTTTTGAAGAGGTGCATCACAGACCGGAACCTAAAGCATGCTTAAGATCGTCTCCAGACCACAGTTCAACAGGCAATGAGTTGAATCTGTGCAATAAATAAAGTTAAATAAAACAATGCTCGCAACACAATGCTACTTCCGACATGAAACCCATATGTTTACTTTCCATTCTACGTCATTAAGAACGGTTGCTACCAGCGCATTGTTTTGAAAATTTTTAGTTTCATTTGTGAAAAGAAATCGCGAGACACTGACACGTATGCAAAAAACAGTACCTCGTCCGGTGGCAAAAGCTGCTGGCGGCGCCAGAGGTGGCAGTACCGCCTTACCTACCGAACCTCTGTTACCTTTACTGGTTGGCTGCTGACGTGAGCAGGGTATCGCACTTGCTTTCGCACGTAGTATGTAAAGAATTATATATATATATATATATATATATATATATATATATATGTAAAGAATTATATATATATATATATATATATATATATATATATATATATGGATGTCGCCAATAATCGCATTAATACTTCTGATTGATTCTATGTGTGATTATTTCTTTGTATGTAAATTATATGCTGCCTAATGTTTTATGTTTATAAAAAACTATCGATCCGCAGTACATAAAAATTCCTATAAAAAAACTACTACTAAGACATTACACTATATTATTGAACTATATACTTAGTTCATGACATAAAAACTGAATACACTTGTAAAAATAGAATACGTGGATTTAACACATCACAAGAAATATTTAAATAAAATTCTCACTTAAAATTTTGAAAAACTTAGCGTTGCGTCTTTGCACGTTTCGAGATCTTACACAACCGTCAATAATAGCAGATATTCAAAAAACATCTTTCGGCCGACATACAGGTATATCGTCTCAGACATCAAGTTTATCGACGAGGATCACTTCGCACTATGGATTAACAGTATTTTAATGCATATATTATGTTTTCTAGCAATGGATGTCGCCAATAATCACATTAATACTTCTGATTGATTCTATGTGTGATTATTTCTTTGTATATATATATATATATATATAAAGAAATATAGTATTAAGGTGTGCTATATTTATGGAATAAAGTGCTCAATATCAGAGATAGAGCGTGTGTAAATATAAAGTGAACATAGAAGTCAACACTTAGCAATCGACAGTCTGACGATTGCTATAGCATGAAACAGACTCGTCAAGCCTGACGATTGCATTTTATATATATATATATATATATATATATATATATATATATATATATATGTCAAATCCTCGTAATTTCTATCACACAAATACACACACACACACACATATATATATATAAACACATTCCTGTCCACCTTCACAATACTTGTTGACAACACCAATGTATTACACCACAAAAATAATAAACAAAAACTTAAAATTCTCGAGACCCTCTATATCAAAAGCAACCAGTTATATGCCATGCGTGATACATGCTTAAGTGAAGAAGGAGAAGAAGGAAGATAAGAAAAAGAAGAAGAAGAAGAAGAAGAAGGAAGAGTATGAAAAGAAGAAAGATAAGAAGAAAAAGGAGAAGAAGAAGGAGAAGTAGACGAAGAAGGAGAAAAAAGAAGACGAAGACGTAATTTTCTAGTCGACCCAGAGGTCGAGTCGTTCTGTGGATTTAATAAGACGTCATTCCAGCTTAAAATGTTGACGTGCATGCAGCAATTTATAGCAACACTTATCAGAATGTCCTCCTGTTGTTTGTCTTGTAATTATTTGATTTTCTGCATAAGGGACGTCGGCAAAAGCGGCGTGGGTGGGGCAGTGGCCATTCCGTCCAATCCTTACTAATTGTCCCAGGTCTATTTATAGTCCTTCATCTCGCAACGACGCAACTTCTCGGCCGTACTTCCGGTAGTAATCGGTCGAACTGGACTGACCAGTTGCAGGTAAAATACTCGCAACGAAGAACCGATTTTATTTTCGTTGAGATTAGCCGCCGCCTTTGATACACGCAACAACGCATTTTCGACATTACTTACGGCTACATCACATTGAAACATCGGTTTTCACCGAAGTTAAGCATCGTGGAACCAAGTCAGAATCTAGATGGGTAACCACTTTGGAATACCACGATCTGTAAGTTTGGATGTGCGAGTGGTGGAATGAATAATGGATCGCGTTTGAAAATCAGAGAACTGCGTTCCAATTCAAGTCGTTTTATTCACTTACGTGCAAATAACCTTGGGAAAGATAAAATTCCACCTCCTCTCCCCCCTAGCTATCGGTTAAGTAGTAGGTCATGTATTAGTAAATCATTATTATCTCAAAGGCATTCTAACACGCTAAAAATATTTTTTGGCTTTAAATAACCTGTAAAAGATTGATAAGCCGTAAAAATGTAAAATGTACGTGCAGCTCTACACACAGCTTCATCTATGGCTTTTCTCTTTTTTCCATGTAGTTTTCTTGGGAAATCAAATACTTTGTTGTTAATTGACCAATATTGTTTGCAATTTCATTCCTTTCTCTTCTGTGGGATAAAAAAGAAAAATCTTTGCAAAAAACAAAACAACCCCCCCAAAAAAAAACAGACTTTGAATTACCGCCAGTTACGATGAATAAATGCCTCCTCGAGGTGGCACCGTCCCTTGAGAAAGAATATTACTCCTCACTTACACCTGACCTCAAATAGAACTCTTATATTCGATTCATCGCGAAAGATGCAGGTAAAGTGATCGGCTCCCTGTACCGCTCCAGTAAGTACCTGACTCTTTATGCTATCCTCTACAAGAGCCAGATCAGGCCGAAAATGGAGCACTGCTGCCATATTTAGTCGGTAGCTGCCCAGTCTTGATAGAGTTCAAAAGCGATTCTGAGTCCTTGTGGGAGAAGAATTATTTTCCACTATGCAACCTCTCTCTTACAAGTGGTATGGGGCGAGTCTCTCACTGCTCTGTCGCTACTTCTATGGAAAGTGCTCGGACGAACTATATTCCTTGGTTTCACGAAGACTAACCTTCACGTCAAGGACCCGCCATGCCACGTACATTGTAGCAAACCACCCACATTCTCTCTGTATTCCATCGGCGAGAAGTAAGCTCCATTCCAAAAAGTTTCTTCCCGCGAATCACTGCTTTGTGGGACAGACTCTCAAGAGGATGTTTCCCCGATCGCTACAATCTTAATCCTAGTCTAGAGTTAACTTTTATTTACCCGTCCTATCCATATAAACTATCGCTTAGCCTAACCCTCTTCTTAGGGTAGCTCCCGGGCATTGTATTGGGCGAAACTTACTGTAAAAAATATCGTAATATTTAAATAAATTTAACTTACATTTGTTTTTTATGGGTATTGGTGGTAAAAGGTAATTACTTTCTAAACATCCTAATATTATACGCTCAAGTGAAACAAACCTATTTAAATTACCTTTAAACAACAGTAACAACTAAAATGGATGACACAGAAGAGAACATTCCCAAGATGTTAATAATCCACACTACTTTAAACAAAAGGTTAGGAAGGAAACCTCCATCACTATTGGAAAGAGCGATAACAGCTACTGGACTTAAGAAATCTATTTTCCTAAAAAGAAGTGTTTTAAGAGAAAGATTTTATAAATTTCAACCGAAATCAGTAATGGTTGTTCGGTCAATGAATACCAAATGTTTCCTTATAGGGAAAGGGCTAATATTACCATTACTATTTATTGAGGTTGATTTTATTGATTAAACGTTGTAGATTAGTGGTATAAGCAAAGAACTATACCAAATAGCAGAAACTACATCACTTGAAAACTACCAATACCAGCAACAACTAAAATGAATAGTACATGCAACTCGAAGAGAAAATAATGCTATAAGCAAGATGCTGATATTCCACACCGCTTCAAACAAAAGGTTAGGAAGGAAATTTCCCTCAATACTGGAAAGTGCGATAACAGCTATAGGACATGAGAAACCTGTTTTTCTGAAAAATTGTTTGAAGAGAAAGATTTTTTATAAATTTCAACTGAAAGCAGTAATGGCTGCTCAGTCAATGAATGACCAATGTTTCCTTGTAGGGAAACACCAAAGATTACTGTTAGCCTGACTATTAAGCTTACCAAATATGGTAAGTTTTAAATGGTAAAATGGTTCAAATGTTGAATTATAAACACCCAAAATGAAGCATTTAAATCGGAAAGATCATTGTGTAATAACAATAAGACTTGGTTCTAAAAGATACAAGCAAAAAGAAGCCATATTTAAATTGTCAGATATAATGGTAGTTCGATTCAAGGTCGTTTTCTGTTCTCGTGTTTCCGTTGCACTTTTTGCCTTAACTATGTAAGCTGCATATCTTTTGCGCCTGCGTAAAGGGTATTCGCGTAAACGCACTCCCGGCATCGTATGCTAACACGTACAAAAAGAGATACTCACGTATAAACACTTTCTGTGAACATCCGCCTACACGAATTGACTTCTTACGTTACAACTTCTACACATCTCCCCCACGCAATGCCCACTCATTTATAACAAGTGCGCATGCGCGACAAAGTATTTCTCTCTAGCTTGATTACTCGAATATCGATCTGAGGTATTGATCCAACAGCGGGCTTGTCACCCTGTACTCTCTCCATTCCCTAACCATCTCCACCTGACTCTCTTTTTCGCTACCCGATCTCCACCCCCATATTGATCCTTCGAAGTTGACACCGCAGAGAACATGCCTCCCCCGCACGCCCTCTGGTCGTTAACCGACACAGCTGTAGGGCGCCATGATTGTCACAAAAAGTGACAAACACTGTTGCTTAACATCGGAACAATTTGGCAGGGATACTCCTTCCGTTGCACCGTTTTTAAACTTTCTTCTCCTTGCTAGCTGCTTGATAATGTTTCTAACAGTGTTATCAATGTGTATTGTCAGTAGTATGTATTTATTTTAATATAAGATCCGAATTATATCCAGTATTGAATCAGATGTCACTAGAACCGTTTGACAAAAAAATAAGTAAATGGATTTCTATATGTTTCAGTCTGTTCCTATCTATACATCTATCTGTTTGTTCCAGTCTGTTCATATCTATCTATCTATCTATCTATCTATCTATCTGCTTGTTCCAGTCTGTTCATATCTTTTGTTTTAATCAGTATTACTCTAAGGAGAGCAGTACAGCCACTAGAGGGCAAGGGGTTACATAGTGTGGAGGAATTAGGAACCGAAACATTAGTAATGAGAAAAAAAGAGAAAAGAGTAAACAGGACGACAGCAGATAGCGATTGACATTGCATTTACATTTTTGCAGATTAAAGTTGGTTGGAAAGCAAGGAGCCGGGAGAAATTTCCACAAGCGAGAAGTGCGAGATAAGTAACTATTAGCATAGAAGTTACGTTTACATCCTGCTTGCTCAACTGTAAATTGATGAGATCTTGCCGCAGTCTAATTACCATAGCGAAGAGCATAGCCGAACAATTAGCATGAACGTATTTATAAAAAAGGCACAGAGGGGCAACCTTACGGCAGGGGGCAACTGACTGAAGCCGAACCGCCAGATCAGGACCAATAATATTGCTGATTCTTCTTTAGTTCTTATCAAGGAGCTCTAGGTAAATAGCAGGGGGAGCGGACCATATATGGCAGTAATATTCTAAGCATGGACAAATGGTAGACATATAGATATGCAAGATAGATTCCGGAGAGAAAATTTTTTTCGCCCGACACAGTGAACCACGTTTCTTAGCAGTTGATCTAGCGATGGATTCAGTGTAGTCTTCCCACCTTATGTCAGCTGAGAGCGTTAACCCGAGAAGGCGCAATGGGTCACTTTCCTGAAGGATAGCATCAGCCATACTGATGGTAAGCAGCGAGGGGTCTCTTAGCTGATTAACAGAGAGTTTATTTTTGGAGGCGTTAAAATTGACATGTCAACTTTTCCCCCCAGTTATCGACGGTCTTGAGCTCGTTTTGTCCATCGGCTGCCATTTTGACCTTGTTTGACTGATCAGCCTTACTATCGATACAGAAGTAAATGGTAGTATCATCAACGGAGATGCCACATTGAGAGCTGATGTCACCGAGAAGGTCGTTAATGAAGATTTAAAACAGTGTAGGACCAAGGATAGAGCCCAGTGAAACGCACGCGTTAGTACGAAAGGATGTAGACGAGTGGCCGTTCGGGATATCTTTCATTTCATGATTAGATAGGAACAACAGGATCAACTCATAAACGTGCCCGGGGATACAGTAGCTATTCAGCTTGTGAAGACCTGAATGACAGACCCTGTAAAAGGCTTTCGTGATATCCAGTGCTACAGTCCGCGTTTCACCGTTTTTTTTTTTATCTGGAACATGATAGGACCTTTCCGCAATTATCGTTAGTAGACCAGCAGTTGATCTGGAGAAACGAAAGCCGTAGTGCTTGTTTGAGAAAAGGTCGTGATGAGAGATGACGAACCAATTCAGCATTGATTAGGGCCTCTAGGTGTTTCCCAAAAAGAGGCAGAAGGTTAATAGGCCGATAGTTGGATGGGCCAGACGGTTCATCAGAGTTCTTAAAAACTAGAACAACAGACGATGACTTCCAGCAGACAGGAAAGCAGGAGGCAGCGAGACATTTATTATATAATTTAGAGAGAACAGGAGCCGGTTCAGGAGCACACTTCTTGATGACTATTACAGGGATGGCATCGGGTCCATAGCAGAAACCATGAAAGGGGTTATATGCATATCACTAAACAGAAAATCAGTTCTAAGAGGGAAGTCAGGCAGAGATAATCCAGATGAGTCAAGAGTAGAGATTAAGGAGAATTTACGGGCAAAGCATTCAGCTTTATCAGCAGAGGATGATGAGACCTTAAATTGATTGAAGAGGAGGGAATAGAGACCATGCACTTATTTAGGACCCTATTACAGAGGTGCCATTATTCACGAGAGTCAGTCTTTAGAGGATATGTGGTGCCTCATTCTCTTAGCAAACAGGAACTTAGCTTTTTCGAGGACTCGCTTACATTTGTTATGGGCGGATAGAAAATAGGAACCTGTTATCTATCTATCTATCTATCTATCTATCTATCTATCTATCTATCTATCATAGTCTCTTCATTATCTATCTATCTATCTATCTATCTATCTATCTATCTATCTATCTATCTATCTATCTTAGTCTCTTCATCTATCTATCTATCTATCTATCTATCTATCTATCTATCTATCTATCTATCTATCTATTATAATATAAGTAATGCTTCGAAAACTTACCGTGACGCCTGTATCGTTAGTCTGAACACTGATTCCAAACGGCTTCTGGTATTTGCTAAACTTTCCAACAAAGCAGGATGTTATCCGTCCGGGTTTTTCGACTTAGTAATAACTTGTCGAACATCGATTTTACTTTTCTAGCAAAAATTAATTCCGCCGGCGACAAGCCTGATGGTGTAATGTGGTTGGGTGTTACACGGAAAACACTCAGAAAATTTTGATGTGATTCCTCATTTAATTTCTCAAGACTTGCTTTCTTCAGCGCTTTTTTGAACGTTCCCAGAAACCATTTCGCTTGTCCATTTCGAACTTGGGTGATACAGCGATGTCGTAATATGTTCAATGGAAAACATTTTACAAAAGTCTTCGAATACTTTACCCGTGAACTGCATTCCGTTAACAGAGACTATGATATCTGATATACCATATCTCGCAAGCAGTTCATACAATTCATTCACTGCCACTGAAGCTGTTGGATTTTTGCACTTTCCGGCCATTTTGTGAACCTTATCAACTACCACAAGATAATGTGATCCATTCATAGCTGCAAAATCTATATGTAGATCTTCTACGCAAATGCTCTCTATTACTCAACATAGAGAACCATCCCTGTCCCCCTCCCCCCATTAGAATGTTTGACGCTCAACTTCTTGAGAGCTCCTCTTTGCGACTACACGGCCTCACATTGACTGCTGACCTGAGATGGAACAAATACATTGAGTCAATAGCTGCCAGGAAATTTGTATCACCGGAGTCGATTCTTCAAATCTACATATCAATCATTCGCCCTTGCATGGCGTATTGTTGCCATATATGGTTTGGAGCCCCTTCTGTTTGTCTCAAGGTTCTTGATAAAATCCAGAGATGGATATGCAACGTAATTGGCCCTGATCTGGCATCCTGTCTGCAGTTGCTCTCTCACAGACATGGCGTCGCTTCCCTCTGTCTTTTTTTACAAATCCTTTCATGGTAACTGCTCCGAGGAGCTGCTTTCGCTGGTTCCCAGACTTCATGAATTTAAGCGTTCCACTAGGCTGGTATCTCGCTCACACCCTTTCTCTGTCGAAACTGTTAAATGTAGCTGTCTCTTCTACTCCGATAGCTTCATGTCTCACACCTCTCGCCTGTGGAATTTCCTCCCCCTCTTCATGTTTCCCTGATAGCTATAATCTCCAACTATTCAAATGTAATGTCAATCGACGTCTCCAGATGCCTATCCCCTATCCTTCTCTTCATCCTTTCCTCTATCACTCCTATTTGCTCTGGCTCCAACTCTCTGTAACCCCTTGCATGCTAGTGACTTCCCCCCTTGCGATGGGTGAAATGCTTATAAAAAACAAAACAAAAAAAAAAAAACACAAAAAAACTAAAAAAAAAGAAAATTTTATTTTTTAAAACTAACGTGGCTAAAATTCTTGTTATCGAAGTAACAAGTATATTTTTTCCGTACTTGGTCACACAGTATTAGTTTTCCAAAATCTTTTTAACTCCAATTACAACTCGTATGAGTTACCAAATCATCGTTACTTTTATAAGTCGTAAGAGTTTCGAATCCTTGTCACAACGGTTATAAATCGCCTGAGCTTCGAATCCCTTGTCGCCATTGTTATAACGCGCTTCGTAGCGCTTATAAGTAATGCTTCGGCAACTTGCCGTGACGCCTGTATTAATTAGTCTGAAAACTGACACCAAACGGTTTCTCCTTCTTAGCTCTTTTTTCATAATTATGGACTAGATCATATAGTCACCGGGCCGAGAGGGGGCGTACTATTTACTCCATCCCCCTATCGTAGGCCGTTCATTTTCTATCGATCCCTCTTCGTCTGTTCATATCTATGTTTCTTTTTTTTTACAATGATGTTCACTTTTTACAAGGCCCGAGAGCCACTCGAGGTAGATTATTAAAGAGTAAGTAGCGCAGTTTTGTGGATATGTGTGGAAGATAACGTTTAACCTTAGACTTGCAAAGGTTAAGATTTGTAGTGATCAGGGAAACATCCTCTGCGGTGTCGGTTCCACAAAGCAGAGATTCGCGTCGGAAGAAGCTGCTTGAGTAGAACAATAGAATACGAATGAAGGTGGTTGGCTACAATTTGCATAGCATGGCGGGTCTTAACCGTAAAAGAGAGAACTGGTCGAACTAAGGAATGTAGTTCGTCTGAGCACTTTCCATAGAAAGAGCGAGAGAGCAGAGACGCTTCGTTTGTAAAAACCGGGTTGAAGGGTGGAAAGTAATCTGTTAACCACAAGGACGCGGAGACGCTTTTGAACTCCATCGATACTGGAAAACGAAGACTGAGCAGCTTATGTTCATTTACGGCAAAGTTAATCGATTCCTGATCTGACTCTTGTAAAGGTAGAGGATATCAGGAGGAGTCAGGTACTTACTGGAGCGGTACAGGGGACCGACTATTTTCCAGCATCTTTAGCGATGAATCGTATGTTCCACCTGAGGTCTGGGTTTAGACCCAATTGGCGTTCATGACGTGTGGCTTCACTGAGGGAACATCCATTCATCGAGATCGATGATAGGTTCGGTTTTGGAGGTACATCCATGTTGTACCATCAGCATAGATCATTAAGCAGATCATTTACGTAAAGTGGAAAGAGGGTTGGACCGAAAAGCGAGGGGAAGCCAGCTTTGATTGCTAACGCCTCGGAAAACTGGCCGTTAACAACTACCTTCGGTGACATGTCCATTCGGAAGACTATCTATCTATCTATCTATCTATCTATCTATCTATCTATCTATCTATCTCAGTCTATTCATATATGTATCTAAATCTGTTCATATCTATCTATCTATCTATCTATCTATCTATCTATCTATCTATCTATCTATCTATTATGCAATGTTATTTCATTTTGCAAGTCAAACTTTACATATTAATATATACCAAATGTTGGTAAACTTTTCGGGATATATATTATAACACTGATATATATATATATATATATATATATATATATATATATATATATATAGGTAAAAATGAATTTACTAGAAAGATTCTGTACAAAAACTTATTGCATGGACTAAAATAAGAATTGGGAAAAAGTACCTAATATTATACTTATTTATATTATATGTATTTTTACAGAGAAAATTAAAATTAAAACTTTTTTTTTAACTTACAATTGGATTTTCAGTGTTTTTTTTTTTCTAGAAAAATGATTTGTTGCTTTACTTTTATTTTTACTTCA